GAACTTATAGGTAAGGGGGGGGGGGAGTAATGATTCAAACTTCTGTTATCTAGATTATTAAAGCATCTCAGAGACCTTTTTGAAAGAGACCTCGATTCCTAGCCCAGACTTTTTCTAGACCAGTGAAAGCCAATGATGACAATTATTGATGACTGGATTGAATGAAAAATATTACAATTTTATTGTTGTATACAAGAGTTGAAGAGCTTTTGGTTAAGTGTTTTTTTAAATGCTAAATGTGGGTCTTTTTGGGAGAACTCTTGGTGATGAGCAAATGTGGTTCTCACAAAGCACCCAACCAATCAACACCAGTGTATCGAAATAATTCAACCAAACAAAATGACTGTAAGAAAAAAAGTGTTGCCTTTAAGTGCTATCAGTTAATGCTGAATTTGGGGCTCTTTTTCAGGAAGGATGATAAATAGTGGTATTTTTTCATTGGTATTTGTAAAAAACAAAGCAGAAAAATAGTCAGGTACTGTCTGATAAGAGAATGATAAAATTTTCCTCATACTCATATCAACTTTTAAGTGTATATTGATCACGGATTGTAATTAACAGGAATTCAATGTCCTTTTTCCTTTGTGTATTCTACTGTTCACTCTGTTTATATTTAATGTATTTTGCGACCAGAAACAATTAACATCACTGGTATACAAAGATAATATGATGAAAAGTCGATAATAATTTTGACGCTACAAATATATGCCAATGTTACCATATTAAATAAAGAATAGGCACAGCTTGGTAGATTTTATAATAGAATAGAATAGATACCATTTAGAGTAAATGACTATTTCATGGTCAGTGTATGATGTCAGAAATGGTTGAATAAAATCATACAGTTTGGAGAATGCTGTGGCAAGTTGATTTTGATGATGTTTGGCAAATTTAACATAAAGTCTAACATTTAGGGTGATCATAGTATTATTAATGTAGGGTTTGTATGATAGATAAAACTGGTGATGTCACTAAGTTGATTAGTGAGGTCACTTAAGTAGGTTGATGATGTCACTATCTGGATTGGTGATGTCACATTTATCAGGGTTAATGATGTAATGATGTTGTCACAACTTGTAAATCATGATGTCACCTAGCAAAAACATAAGCCAAATGTTGGTTTAAACATCAAGATAACTGTTAAATAAAAAATAAAACTTTTGTTCTCACACTCGAAGCATACTGTTGACCAAAATTTTGGGCAATTTTTTTAAAAAGCCCAAAACATCTCAGTTATTGTAGATACATTGAAATTCATCCTATGTCAAATTCATTTTTTTTTGTTTTTACAGGTTAGACAATAGTGACTTAATCTTATTTGGAAAATGGGTCCAAGAAGATAAATAAGTTATGTGATATCAGACTTTCAGATACATTTTTGTGGCATCATACTGATGAGTGACATCACGTTGATTAGTGACATCACTCTGATTAATGACATCACACTGATGAGTGACATCACAATGATGAGTGACATCACAATGATAAGTGACATCACGCCTACTGCACCACTCAGGGACTAGGCTCCCAAATCAATACGGGTCATTTAAAGAATCATAATACCATGTACTGTGTGTTATAGTCAATAAATAATGTACATCAATATTGGCTGTTTTATGAATTGTATTCTCTGTGCTTTCTCTCTCTCTCTCTCCACATACATGCACAGGCAAGAAAAATCCAATAACAAATAGGAGACTATAAAAAGAACAAAGCTTCACCTAATTTTAAGGTACACGCTGAAATTATTCAAAATTCTGTATGACAAATATCTCACAGAAACAAACTGAAATGTATCCAAATTTAAGCATTACCATTAACCACTTCATACTAGGCACCAGCCATTAGGAACTTTGTTTCCTGTCCCTAAGAAATGTTTTCTTCCCATTCTTCATTGATTATTTACTATGCCAATTACACTGCGATTTTCAACACCACAATGCTCCCGTCTGAAGCTCATCTCTGGACTTGTCACTTCAACTGCTTAACATTCATTTCTCTATTCACAAGCATAAAAAAAGAGGCCAGATGGAATGCGTTGTTAAAACTGAAGTCTTACGCAATGGCCCCCTTGCACCTGCTGTGGAGAGCCTCAAAGTCTGAAGTGTCCTCATCATTTCTTGGTCCTGACAAGAGCCTGAGGATTCCTTGTGTGTGTGTGTGTGTGTGTGTGTGTGTGTGTGTGTACCTGCATGTTGTGTGTGTGATCTACAGAATAATAATTGATATTTTTATGAGATAAATATATTTATTCTCCCGTCTAAAAACAATTATGATGTGTCAATATCAACTGATTTAGATATTTCAGCTATATTTTATGGTGCTCATTATTTCAATGAATTTTTCATTTTCACCAAATGTAAAGTAATGATGAAACCAAGCAAATATTTCACTGAATTCTCCAGAATACATCTCGATTCTCAAGTAATAAGTATCCTTCAAGTGCCTATCATAACAACAATTGACAGGCTTCGAGATGTAACAGCACATATATAAAGCTTCCTACAGAAACATTTTAGGATTTCAATTGAGCAACTTTTGCGATATTGACGTTCCTATAAATAGACAATCTTGTTTCCATTCTAAACAGGCCTCTTTCTCATGATTTGAATATTTCCTGTTGATGGGATCGTCAGTATAATATTTACAACTGGTTATTTTGTTCAGTATTGATTATTCTTTTTTTTTTATATAGTCTAGTCTAGGCTTATCTAATACCTAATATCAAACTTTCATTTGAAGTTTGTCGTCTATTATGTAGAATTTGAAATGATTTAAATGGACAGTTTCTAATTTCTGACCTCCTGTCTTTCTCCATGCATTTTTCTACCTATATTTCCAGGCTATAATGAATAATAATAATAAAAAATATTACATAGACTCTACTTTTGGTGTATGCTATCATTTAATTTTTCTAAAAACAAAATCATAAAGCAATTTATAAAACTTTAAAAAAATCCATCATCAGACAGACAATGTCTATTTTATTATAAGAAATCTGTCTACCAGACAGCCGCCTCAGGTAAGAACAAAAAAACCACACTGAGAGCAACAACCTTAGCAGTTTTATCCTTCAATCAATATATTCAAAGCATGATCCACAAAGAAAAACCACCATGTATTGTTCTGCAAAAACCAACGAAACCGCAGTTCAATAGAGTATCTGAAAGATGGAGACTAAGAGACAGTCAGTGAGAAGATTACACCATGACAGAGAACTAAAATGAAGATGATTTTCTGTGGTTTTTAAGCACACCATCTGTCAGACGAAGAAGTTACTTCGAAATCATAGGGAGGGTTTAAAGAAAAAATAACAAAGTAACTGATTAATGTTATATCAACCCAACAGAAAAGATCTTTGAATATGCTGAATACTCAACTGATTCGACAGAAAGTCTTTTCATGTATGAAAAAAATATGAAAAGACAGACAAATGAGAGAGACAGAGAGTGAGAGAGAGAGAAAGAGAGAGAAAGAGAGGGTGGGAGGGATGGCACATCTATACAAAGAGAGGACAGAAGGCAGACAACCAACCATACCCATGTCAGTTGTCTTATATGTTACATAATCCTTTCAATACTGGTTAGCAGGTGGACCAAATTGACTTACAATCCACGCAGCCGTTGTGGTCAGTTCTGGTCAATTCTGGTCAGGTTGGTTAAAACTGTGGTCAAACCACCTGTTTTATCTGTCTGTTCTCAACTATTATTTTTACTACCAGTTGTGTTTGAAGCAGTAAACGTGAATAAGTTTATCAATATTGGGTAATTTCTAGACTGGATTTAATTCCTGACTAGACAGCTTCAAACCTGGTCAGTGTTGAAAAGAAATTTGCAATATTTAAGTATTTTGGTTTGATTTAGATTTTAAATGATTTCAGATTTAATCTTTAATAGTGAGTTAAATTACTAAGCTCAAGTTAGATTTCCATATTAAAAAAAATTATGAATCATAGAAAAAAAATATATATATATCTATCATTACTTTTAACCCATCAGAATTTTTCTAAAAATAAGTCAAAATTTCACCTCAAATGTTCATTTTTGATTTGTAGCAATACATGTTGAAATGCTACTACTACTACTACTACTACTACCCTATTAAGACTTGAACCTGTTTAATGTCAAATCTATCATTTTTCCAAACCTGTTAAAATATGGGAAACACAATCAACATATGACATACAAAAAGTAAACACATCACAGAATAACTATCAAATGCTGAAACTGAAAGTGACAATGGTATATATTCCGACTTACTTTAAATAGATAAGACTACTTAATGTGAACAGTGTACACCCACCTCTATATTCATGTCTAATGTCCATATTTAATGAAAAAAGTCAAAACTTTAAGAACCTGGTCATAATTTTTGTCTTTGGATACAAGCCAATGACAATGCTGAAAACTGCCCATAATCTTTTTGCAAAAAGTGGTTAGCATAGAATTTAGTAAATACTATACCGGATTTCAGAAACCTTGGAATTTAAAAATAATAGTTTTCATGCATCCTCAACAAAACTGGATGCATGAAAATATAAATAATAAAACTTGTTAAACTTTTTGAGGTATTATCAAATTCAAAGTTGGTCAGTTTCAATGAATTCCATCCTGAACTTCTTTGAGCAAGTACCAGCACACCAATAATGATCTGGACAATTATCTCACATTTGGCTAAAATGGCAACCATGTCAGTGTGACACTACTGCTGGTTAGCCACTATCTCAGCTCTTAAGTTACATAATCCTAATTACTAGGCTTTTTCTAAACAAGGCACCTGACAACATGGGAAATTGATATGTAAAAATATGTAGAGTTTGTGCAAAAGTAAACAGTTGGGAACCTCAAGCCTGAAATAAAATAAATAAATAAATAAATAAATAAATAAATAAATAAATAAATAAATAAATAAATAAATAAATATATAAATGAAAATATAAAGAAGACTTACCTGAGAAGTGAAGTTTGATTGTGCTATAAATTTTGCTTGAAACAACATACCTTGATTATTTTATGCAGAACATGGTGGCTGATGACAGTGCGATGTTTTGCCGTCGCCCGATAAATGTCGACTACGATATTCAATACTTGCTCTCCAAATGGCACAAAGTTCATTGTTACCATCTCAGACTGAAAAAGAGAATAAAAATACATTTATAGACAAGTAACTTTGCCAGAGAATTGTCCAGTAATTCCAAACTATCTTTAAAGTGTAACTCATGTTACACATAAAAATAAAAGAGAAGTTTTGTAAAAGATATGTTTTTCAGGAGAATATTCCAGGCCAAACGGAAATATACATAAAAAACATTGTTCTGCAGACAATACCCCATTGTCTTCAAATTCCAATACAGGGCTGAAAATCATCAACACCAAAGCCAGAATGATTCACTTTTATCTTAAACATGAATTTTCTGATAAATCACACTTTCATTCTTAGGAAACACAGCAAAAAGAAAGACTAATTGTGTTAGTTGTGACACAAGTCACAACCACAACACAATTCTTCATTCTGGCCCATTACCCCATACCTGCATTCCACGCACTTGTGCAGCACTCTTAGTCTCCACTTTCCCAAATCTAGGGGGCACCACTGCATACTCCACAAATGTCAGCAACTGTTCGTACAAGTCCGGGTACATAGTATGCAAAGACTCTGAACCCTGGCGGATTTCCTGAAAAATAGAAATGAAAGATAATCAATGACAATTTAGTATAAGGTGGGATAAAAAGCGACTGTAGAAAAACAGAAACAACCTTTTGATTATATTTATGTAAATGCTTTGCAGGCACCCAACTCTTTGGTAGTTTTTCCATGAAAAATATTTATAATAAAAATATATAAAAATAAAGATATTTAAAATATTACAAATATCTATTGAAAAGGTGAGACACTGTTTGTCTGCACAAATCTTGGAAAAAACTGAAAAAGATCTTTAAGAGGCAGCAGACATCATTATCTATTGAAGACACATAATAACATTTTTGCAACATCTATATTAGTTTGTTTTACCAAGCCGTAATTTGACAAAGTACTCATACACAGAAAGGAAGATTATGCCCATACATTACTAATTATTACTGTATTTTTCAAGTCATAATTTCTTACAATTAGAACATTCCTATTGAGAGGTTGAAACAAAATTAACAAGCAGTGATACTAATCTATTGTTTGCAGTAAAAGCACCACAAATGCAATACACCTGTAAAAATATTATTTCTGTGATTATAAAATTGTGTGTCTTAAAGTTTGATAATTTTTGCCCATTGAAAAGATCGATTCATTATGTCATCTCTAAGTCTCTATGTAAACTTGTTATCCTGAAACTTTTATTTAGTCTTAGTATTGTAATAAGGTGTTAAAATATATTGTAAAGTCTGGTTATTGTGTAAAAATGTACATATACCATAATAAGAATGAATGAATGAATAAATACATAAAGCAGTAATTTCTTTTGCACTCATTAACCCCATGCCACAACCTCTTTCAGTGCAAATATCACCATGCTCCAGATATGGCCAGTGAGGACAGCCCCCGGGGACAGCCCCAGGGATAAGACAGAGTCAGCCCAAAGATGGACAGCTTTCAATTCTAGAGATAACATGATTAAAGGGGTCTGCTTTTCAAGTAGTCTGTGACACTTCCTGTCTTGCACTCACTTTGTTGGCAAAAACTATTAATTGTTCTTGTCAGGCCACATTCACACTTTAAAATAACTTTTGTTATTAACTTGTTTTTAGGCAAACGATTTTTTTTTGACACAAAGAAAAATACAGTAGATTAAATATATAAATTTGAGAAAAATTTTGTATGATTAAAAAGACATTGAGTAACTGGGATTACATTTTTCTTCAGGCTTATTACTGTCCTATCTTAAAATCTAATTTTCCAACTAATTTTAAATTTATTGAAGTTCTAAGGGGCACCTACTGAGAGACCTCTTTTAACAAAGCTCCATAAATTTATCATCCCTGCAGTCACTAAATGACAAATGCAAAAGGAATTCTAATTTATCCGAGGATAATTTATAGTTTTAGGCTGTTGTTATCTACAACAATGTAACCCCTACACAGCAGCTGTTTTACTTCCTTCACAAAACACACAAAGCACAATCATCATACCAAATAGTGTCATGCTTGAATGCTTCACAATAAGTCTTACAGACATTCTGCGACTTAGGGAAAATACTATGTGATATAAAAAAATCTAGTTTGAAAATTCAACTGCTACCACGAGATAAGCATTTCTGTCTTATTTAAGTCAACTTAATATGCCACAATTCCAACTGATAAAAATATTAAATGCATTCCTGGAGCTTCCTGCATATAGAAAACCCACTAATTTTCTAAATACACGATAAAAAATTGTGAAAAATCACCAAATGACAAACTATGATGAAGGCACATTTCTCTTTGCGAAAACTGATCCAACATCAAAACTCAGGTGTGACTTAAAATAGGCACCTTGCCTGTTTCCCGATAAAATCAATATTCTTTTACTTATTATTATGTAAATAACACACCACTGGTATGTGACATGGAATGATCCGACACAAATCCTGCCTTTCTGCAACAATGGGACCAGTGTAGAGAAAAAAGAAGGCATTCCAGTCTCACATTTACTGGCATATCCACATCATGGGAGAACTTTTTAAGTTTGGATTAAATCAACCAGGCACTGGTCACTGAAATGACCGGTTGGAAATGGTCATTGATCTGAGGAGTGTGGAGTAATGGTCAGCGCTGGAGGGGGGGAGAACCGAAGTGGACATTCATTGTATGAGATAGGAAAAAATGGAACAGATCAAGTTAACGGAAACTGATGTATCACATTTTTTTCTCCACATGTGCTGAGTGCATTATATTGAAAGATTAACAGAGGACTTAGAATTTGATGGAACTGTTACATGAATATTGGGATCCACTGACTGGTTAAAAGGCACAGAACTTAAAGCGCTGTTTGATTAGTTAGAAGGCTAACAGTTTCCTCAAAATGTGTGTCATCCTTTACTGCAATGAATCCTTCAGTTGGAGTTGACACCTTTTCCTAGACTCATGGTGACATATCATTAACACTGAAAATTGTCGTCTGCAGGTATTAAAAAATCTCATGTACTAGAGCTGCTGGATTAAAGACTTCTATGTCTGCTCACGCAAGTACTCTGATATTCAACATATTATTATACAAGTACTAGTATATAATATTCTATAATCAAATGACATTTCTCTCACACTGTCAGCAAAGGAAGCTGCTCTACCCGCATTTAAAGAAAAACAGGAGTGCACATTTCAGCACAGGCAGTCAATATACACAGCCTGGTCAGCAAACACACGTATCACACAGAAAGATGAAAACAACCAGTCCCTTCTCACTGAATACAATACCTTGTTTCAGAACAATATATTAAGAAGTTTACACAGCGAACAATCCTAAAATAGGCCGTGCGTTTCATACAGTGGATATTACATAGAGGATCTGGATTTGAACTTGCTTTAACCTATTTTGTTAGTACATTGGCGTACCTATATGACACAGGTAGTGCACACTTACATTATACTGAATTCAGAAAAAAATGCATGCCTTCTCTACTACAGGGATCAAAGGGCAGGCCAGTGATTAACTACACAGAGGAACAGCTTCTGTGCTGACTTTAATTTTTATTTTTGTACCCTGTATATGGAGAACTGAAGAGGTCTTAACTTAAAAGTTAAGGACCAAAACAATGGGCAAGTAATCACCTGCCATTTAAGGATTTCGGAAAAAAGAGGCGTGTCAGGTTTGACTGTATAACTGGATAAAATTTCGGACCAAACTGTCCCAGATACTAGCCTGGGATTAACTTAACAGCAAATCTGTGAGTTCATTCTTATATATATATATATATATAAACTAAATAAATTAATGGAGAACTATTTTAAACAGAAATGTTTGTCTTCACCATCATAGGATTTATGCATCAAGAATCCAAGAACTGAAAGACTAAATCATGTGGTTGGACTTAATATAACATAATCACATGTTGTTTTGTGATCTTATAACCACATTACACAGTAATTCAGGGAACAGCATCATTTGTCAGTTTTCCACTCCTGATGTTTAACTGTGTCAATTGCTTCTACAGCCGTAGACTCATGTAATTTCAATTAACATTATTTTCATTGTCAAACTACTCTGGCAACTTTAAGTGTAAACTATTCAGCTTGGCGTGTTTAGAACATTTAAAACACTGATATATCAGCCACAACAATCTAGTAAAAGAACTATGGCTTATGTAAAATAAGAACATTTTACAAAAAAAAACTGATGTAGTCAAGACTACAGCCTAGCTTCAGTGCATTATCAATTTAATCTGAACTTGAGTTCAAAAGCTTAAAGCTGGTGACAGTGTCTTCTCAGGTGACACTAATTAATTAGACATAAGCCTAAAGTTTCTGGAGATAGCTGAGCCTTAGGACACTAGTGTCTTGATCAATATATCAACTGTTACATGAACTGACGGGGTAATTTCCACTATTACACAGCATATGGGGGTATTTAAATTTATTACACAAGTCTGGACAATATTATTACAGTGGATTACTGACATGGACAAGCTTTAAGCTGTGTAAACATTCCACAGAGAAAGAGGAAGTGTTACTTAGATCTGATATATAGAGGATATATGAACAGACTGGCCCCAGTCTTCTTCTAACACTTTAACTTTGGGGTTTGACAGAGACAGACCTACTCTATAGCAGTTTTTGAATCTGAAGTGGTTCAGATAGTAACTTTGTGGTAAAGCTCTCTATTTCTCAGCTCTTTATCAACATTTATGTTGCCAGCTCAGCTGCAGGTCACAGCAAGTGCAAAGGCAAAACTAGTGCTGGACTAACATAAAAGATGTCGTCACCAGAGTCAGCGTGGATCACCCGACCAGAGACGCCAGATACCACAGTGATTGCAAAGGCCAACAAGAGGGTAAAAGGTCGAAAAAAGGTCATCCAAAGGTCAACCTCAGTGCCAGGTACTCCGCAGAGTGTTCGTTCACTCTCTTTATCATTGAGCAATCTCCAATCCCAGAAGAGTGCCACCTCCATCAGTGGAGGCTCAGAAGTGGTGTCACCGCAACAGAGAGGTGCCACTGGTGACAGTATGCACCTCAACCCCCAACCCCACCCCCACCAGAGGCAGGCCAGTATACAAAGTATGCACAGTGTCCATAGTTTATCCAACATCCAAGCTGCGACTGGGGTAAATGCCATTTTCACCCCTAGCCAAGGTGTCTGTGCTCTGTGTAAACAACCGTATGACGAGCCACGTCTCTTGAAATGCGGTCACTGTTACTGCTCAGGTTGCATTCTGAAGAATATGAAGAGCCGAACGCTCAGAAAATATGCCATTATTAAGTGTCCTGATCGCAAATGCCACCGAGAAACCAAAATTCCAGGTGGAAAAATTGACAAGTTACAGCAGCTTCAAGCATTTTCTGACGTGAGAGAAAATGATAACACACACCAGATGCCTCAGCAGCATTCCGTAGATTTCTGCCCCCGACATCCAAAATCTCTGCTAAGATTTTACTGCCTCATGTGTGACATGCCTATATGTCCTGACTGCATTGACAGCAGCCACGATGGACACAACATATGCTCCTTGGAAAAAGCTGCCAAGGAATCCCAGAACACCTTGCAAATT